ACGAGAATGATAGGCAACGTAGTAATACTTATGTGAAATGCATCAGTCTTAAACTGTCATCAAACCTTGCGTGAAGTGTTTCAGTTACGTCTGATCCGGTTGCGTATACTATTAGTATTCACGATTGTTGGGAAAACATAACCTCGCCTAGATTACTAGGTCACTAGCATTCTAGCCGGTCCCAAGCCCGGATAAAGAGGGAGGGTTGGGGCGTGGTGCTAGCAACTTCACCCCCGCCAAAACTTAACCAAATTGCTACAAAAACTTCAACGCACAAACATATTTAAAATTCTAAAAATACAAACAAAAACCTTATTTTTCGCTGGAATCGGGGAAGTGAAATAATGAGGCAGGCTGGTGAAAGCCTTCGGGAAGCCAGTCAGCCGATGTGCCTTCTTTCGATGAAAGCAAAAATAAGAATAGGGACGTGGAATATTCGTACAGTGTACGAAACTGGAAAGGCTGCTCAGATAGCCGCAGAAATAAGGAGATATAAAATAGAAGTATTGGGAATCTGCGAGAGCAGATGGAACGGATGCGCAAGGAGCCAACTACCAACTGGAGAGACAATAATCTACTCTGGTCACCCAGAGGACGATCACGAGCACACCGAGGGAGTAGCCATCATGATATCACCAACAGCGGCTAAGGCTCTCATGCAGTGAGAACCAATCTCCTCCAGGATAATGACAGCCAGATTCAACTCGAAAGGAAAAAAGGTTACAATCATTCAATGCTACGCGCCTACCACAAAATTCGGATTTTCAATACAAACGTCAAGTCAGTCAGTTCTTCTATACGGATCAGAAACTTGGTGGTGGGTCACAAAGAATATTTCCAACAGCCTTTTGCAGACCTTTATCAACAACAGCTGTCTTCGTTCTATACTAAAGGTCAGATGGCCGGAAAGAACAAAAACCAACAAGAAACTATGGGAGCAAACGAAACAAGAATCAATCGCCCAACATATATGCAAGAGAAAGTGGAGATGGATTGGACACTCACTGAGGAAGCCGCTGGGTTACATCACACGTCAGGCCGTCACTCGAGTGGAACCCGAAAGGGTAGCGGCGAGTGGGAGGTGCAAGAGTGACATGGAGGAGATCGTGTGAACAGGAACTGAAACAGTATGGATTAACATGGATGCAAGTGAAAAGTACAGCACAAGACATAAGCAAGTGGAGGCGTGTAGTTGAAGCCCTATGTTCCACTAGGAACCCAAAGGAGCAATAATAACAATAATAATTGTTGGGAAAATAGCCGTTGAACATGTGTTTGTACTGTAATAACGAAACATAACCCCTAGCAAACGTAGGTTCTATACGTACAAGACTTGTATTGGTAGTCTAGGCACCTCAAGCAGACTATGCAACGTATATCCTATTTATCACAAATAGTCTGTTATTCTATTATTCTTATGTTGCGTTCAACACCACTATCTCAAAGGAAATCATTAGGTAATAAAGAGACAACTACATTACTCTTCTTGTGTTATCATTTCGTATCAGTAGGCTCTTACATGATCACATCATCCATCACTTAGACTTGTGTATTAGTTGACCATGTCACTAAACTTCATTGATTACTATTTTGTTATCATTAGATAGGCTTTTGTTGTGTATATCGCCTGTTTACGGTTTACCAGCGAAAGTCATTACTAAAAAGCAATAATAGTACCCCCATCATACCCAAATTCAATCACATGTAAATATAACCTTTCACGTATTTTATGTCTTCTAAACTGGCATCACTTTTCAACTTGAGAAACAACAAGTATTATCAAGTGTTAGAGTGGAGTACAAACTTTAAAAGAAAAATATTCATTTCAAACAATAAATTCGTAATATCACAAATATTTCATCATTCACAAACAATATTGTCCGTTTTAATTGCATTAGAATGCTTAAATGTACTGAGTGATTGTGGAAGTAATGATGATGAGTTAAATAAACAGCCCAAAAACACGGTACCTACCAATTAATTATATGACTGCCTGGTCACCGTTATCTCGCAAATTCATCAACTCACTTTCCTTTCTGATTGTGAAATTTGCAAGTCAATCTGAACGAAGAATATTCTCTTCAATACATCCTTCTCTTCAGGTTCTTACAATTATAAAATATAATATTTGTTGTCGTTACAATGCGGCAGGTATATTTTTAACGTAGAATAACAGATTAGCAGTTATGGGGTGTCAAAATAAATAGTCGTATTTGTGTGACAAACGTGCTCTGGGCTGAATTCGACTACAAAATATTGTTAAACGGAAGAAAATGGTGATTAATCATAATAGATTTGTAGAGTGTGGGGTAGGAAAATTGACAAGTCAGTTCAAGGTTATACAAGGTGTCAGGTGAGTGGCTATTACAAAGTGGTCTGTGTTAAACAGGAGACTGAAATGAGAGGTTTATAATGAGATAACGAATATGTGAAATGAAACAGGTGGAGGCATATATTGAGAAAAGAGATAATATCACTAATAATAATAAGTCCGGATAGTATAAACGAAAAAATTCGATAGTATTGAGAGAATGTTTGCATGAATGGTATAAATTATGACGAATAATAATAATATCTGTAATAATAAGCAAAGGAACAAAAAAAAGCCAAGAGGGTTAAGGGGAAGAAGCACTCTTGATGAGAAGAAGAATCATCAATCCAAGTTTGGCCACGGTAGGAACAGCGTCTGTACGTGTTCTTTTTGGATACAAAGCTCCGGTTTAGTCGATCTTATTGCAACAGCTTCAGCTATGTGCAGAAGACGTAAGCGAACTGTACGTGATAACGACTTCGGAATTCGGTATATAACCCTGAAAGCTGTGTTGACGTCGATATGGTGTCCAATATCGACCAAGTGTGACAGGATCGAGCTTTTTATGCACTTAATTTCCCACCCCTCTGCTGAACCAAGCTGGTAAATGTTCTCGAACTCGTAGACGAACCTGCCTAATCGTGCGCCCTATATAACTTGAAACACAGGAACAGTTGAAATGGTATGTGCATGAAGAAGAGCTAAGATTAGGTCAAACATCTTTGAGTTGCTGGGTGAACATTGGACGGTTACTGAAGGATAGACACAGACGTACAGAGTAGAAAGTTTTCTTGATCGCCCTGGTTAAACGTTGCGATAGAATCTCCGCAGGAGTATCTCCCTTGAATTGGAGACGTAAAAACAGAGGCTTTTTCTCCACCGTTGCCAGTTCATGTTTACGACTGTTGTAACCTATGCTGACTTTAATGAACTTCTCTGGATATCCGTTCTCGCTTAGAATGTCTCGGATGACCTGGAGTTCTTTCTCTAAACAGTCTTCGGAACAAGTAGACCTCTCTCTAAATGTTAAATATCTGATTAGATTACGTTTGTATTTCATCAGTACAAAGCTAGGGAAGTTTTGGTCTCTAGCTTTCTAAATATAGTTCTTTTGACGGAACCATCCTCTCTTCTCGTTATTAGGACGTCGACGAAGTGTAGCGAGTCGTTGCATTCTCCTTCTTAGGTGAAATGGACCGCTGGGTGAGCATTATTGAAATTGCTCAGAATCAAATCACTAGTTAACCCTTCATCGTACACACTACAAAATTGTCATCCATGTAACGACAATACATTTCCATATTTGCTATTTCCTCTTTCAACGGACTATTTTCTAGTTTTGCTGGAAATATATATTCACGAAAATAGGTCCCAGTGAGGATCCCATGGCTACTCCATCAATCTGTCTGTATATTTCATTATTAAACAAGAACTGAACATTCGCTGTACATTTAACAAGTAGTTGTTTCAGATTACTAATCGGAATATCTCATAATATGGGAATTTTCCACACAATCAAATTTGTAAGTATCATGAAATCATAATTGCCTCGATTTACAACGCCATTCTTCATTATTTACGTAAAACATGGTCCAGTAATGGGAAGTATCCAGTATTTCCTATTATAACTGACATTTTGCAAGGAATTCAGACATTTCGTATGTACCTCAGCATGTCACTTCAAGGAGAAGACAGCATTTTGTTAACACACTGAAAACGACAACTGTTTTCTCAATTTTTACATGTTTTTTCGTTGAAATACGGTATTAAAAATGCATCTCAGTCTATAAGACGACTAAAAACAACGTAGGATAGCCCAAACATAACAACACGATAAAGCCTGATATCTTCAGTAATCAGCCGATTTGTGCCTCTATCCTCTACCGTCATTTACCGCATACCAACAACAAATCTCAATTTCACCTCAAGAGTTCGACTAGTAAAAATTGCTGAGGCTGGCCGTTGGTATCCATACTAACGAGCATCTTTAATGAACTGTGGTGATTCCATTGTGATCTTACTTTACAAATCGATATTACTATTTAAAAAGCACACACTAATATTGTTATTGACTACTATTCTAGAATATTCTATGTGTATAAACAGACATGCATATATAAATATGTAATTGTAGAGCGAGAAGAGAAGGAGGAGGAACTTCTTATCGAGAAGGGGGGGATATTCTTTGCTGGCTCAATCATTTGATGTTTTGTGTTTTCCATAGATAGATAGAAGATGTCTGAATGAGTGAATATTTTTTCTTTTGCTGAAAATTGTACACAGTTGAGAAATCAGTTAGCTGCTCAATTGAAATGTATAATCAAATCTGTTTTATTCCATAAAAAATAAATAAATAAATGAAAATAAAAAAGGGAGAATAAGAATTGATCTGTTTGTTTTGGGGTTGTCAAGCCTGCAGAAGAAGTGACCATGGAAACAGCAAGAAGAGAAGGAGAGAGAGAGAGAGAACAGGGAGGGAATCACCAGAACAAAGTAAAAGCTGATCAAGAGAGATGAGATGGGGGGGGGATTATGCGGAATGGGTTTCTAGTATCACGTTTATTAATAATAATAATAATAATAATAATAATAATAATAATAAAGATTTCGTTGATTATATCAGAAATGTGTAATTATGTTAACTAACAAGAGTAGGGGAGAGGAAGCGTAATAATAATAATAATGATAATCACCAAATGGACTCATCACCCCAGACAACGTGTTTATACTTGGCTTTCAATGCCCGCTCCAGATCACTTGCCTGGACAAAATCACGAGTTTCACAGATACACTTCACTTGAACTTCAAATACACTCGACTTCAACCATGTACGATCTTGACTGATATCTTTAATGCTTGAAAAAACGAAATAATCGTTACGGTGGGGGGGAGGGTGCGGTAAACTCATTAAATGTTTATCAAATAGTATGGTCAGAGAAACATATATAATAGCTATATAGTATTGTAACAACAGAAGACCACAAGGGCCAGGCAACAGATCGTTTATTTAGGAAATCAACATATATTTATCGATTTTCATAAACATACATTATTATCGATTATTGTTATCAGACAAACGCAGTCTTCTGATTGGTGGTTGTTTCTCTTTGTGCCTGTTTCTTGAAGGTCAGATCATCTGCTATATGCTAAATGTATCCGCCTACGCAAACAAAGTGTGCTGTGATTGGTTGTTTGAGTCAGTCAGTCTTTGTTCTTGTTCTAGTTTTCTAATGACCGATATTTGGAACATAAACATTGACGTGAATTACTGTCTACCCATTTCGCTTAGCAGACAGCTCTCACCACAGTATGAAAGGGTAACCAAATATGAGATAAAAAGTAAGCGGGGAATACGAAAGGCCTAAGATTGCTGCATAATGCAATGTTTCCCTGATATCCCACATTAAACTGGAACGAGTAACTAAGTAGCTTGGTCAATTTTTTTCCTTCACATAGGGCATTGTTTATTTTACAGGATGGGGTTGCTAGCCTCATGCCTAACCTTTCATCTCCACCAGCATTATTTCTGGCTTAGCGAGGTAAAGGAGTGCGCCGGTGCACAGGTGGGGATCGAACCCTGGACCATGTAGATGGTCGGCGAGCGTCCTAACCGCTATGCCCAGCTTAGCTATAATTAAATAGAAATATTGTTAGGAATTGGTTCTCCTGATTATTATATTATTATTCTTATGGTTTCCTTTAATTCCTAGAGGAACATAGGACTTCAGCCGGGCGTATCCATTGCGTTCTGTTCTCTGCTAGAGTGTTCACCTGGCTCCAAGTTTGCCCATACGTTTTCATTTCCTCTTCACATGACCTCCTCCAAGTCACCCTCACATTGACGACCAACTCGCGGCTTCCCTTTAGGGTTAAACTCGAGGGCTTGTCTAGTGATGTCACTTGATCCAATGGTTGGGGTCGCGGTAACTGCATCACGAATCGGTAGAGGTTAGAATTCTTGCACTGGCTAGCCATTTAATTGAGTCCCAGTGAGTGGTGGCTGATTGGTATACGAGCCAGCTAGTTTGCCTTGCTTGTAACCGAAAGGTCCTGGATTCGAACCTGGAGCAGTGTTGGATGCGTACCGCCGATGATCATTCCCAAACCAGGCTGATGAGACAGCTGTTGGTTTTCAATGCTTCTCTAACTCCTCATGGATATCAATCCGTGCGCGCATGATCAACTCGTAAAACACACAAAACATAACTAACCCTTACAAATCATCAAATCAAACCAGAGCATAGTAGAGCAGAGGAAAATAAATTAAGCCTAAATTATCTATCTCACTGTCTGTCTCTCATTGCATAATACACCCACCATGCACACACACACAGTACAATAAAAGGTACACAAATCACAAGTCACAGGTCACATGAACAGACACTTCACTTTTTCAAAAAATAAATAAAATAAATAAATTAAAAATTGCATAATACTTTAAAATATACACAATCCAACTAGCCCACTAGCAAGAAACCTAGATCTAGGCAAGGTTTCCTTCCTCTGCCGTGGCCATTAGCCTCCAACTATCTAATATCATTAAATCAAAGTGTGCACCGTGTGATGGTGAGCCAGCTACCTAGTAGTGGCATGGTGACCACATTGCAAACCTGACTGACTGAGTGACTGATAGAATTCAGTCTGCACCAAAGACAGCAGGACTAGCCAGCCAGACACACCAGTCACACTAGTTACTGACTGACTGACTAGTGTCCAATCTAAATACAGCCCTAGATTAGCAGGCTGACTTTGTCGGGATTTGTGATCACTGCAGATTCAAAGTGGAAACATGGATCTCTGGATTTTGTAATCAATAAAGTTTACACTGTTATATCACTAATAATAATAATAATAATGATAATAATTTTTGTGCATTTGTATTTACTAACTATCGATTGCCATACACACAAAAACGACGCTAACGAGGCTAACCAACCCAACCCAACACACACACACACACTCACCTACCTAACTCCAATCTGCTTCAACAATGCACACAAGTCTGCAATACATCCAGGCTGGTCGGCTATGACAACGATGAAACGACACAGACGACCTTCAAGTGCCAAGCCCCTTTCGATGACACGACCCAACATTGAAGTGTCAATATTCCCACCGCTCAGAAGGCAGACAACTCTGGAAAAGAGAAGAGGAATAAAAAGAGGGAGAGAGAGAGAGAAGAGGAGAGGAGATATCGGCTCTTTTATTGACTCAAAGAATCAATAATTCAACATTTTCCAATCTCTACATCAATAATCAAGTAGAAAAGAAAAATTAAAAAAAATTGGATGGATGGAGGGGGATCTCATTATTGATCATGACCAGCTGACTGACATCAGCTGGGTAGAGAACCACCGGAAGGAAAACCAACCTGCCTGGCACAGGGAAGAGTACTGGACAGCCAACCAGCTGTTTCCTTCCCTCGTCAGCCTAGTTTGGGACCGGTGGCTATTCAGCAGTACGCACCAACCCCCCACTGTCAGTGTTCGATCGCAGGACCACGTTCTGGTTTCAAGGCCAGCGATCTAGCGACGTCGTAGACTATTGTGCAGCAACTGGGACGCGATCTGATCCAATGGCCAGCCAGCCAGCCAGCCAGTGCATGAATTCTAACTTCTCCCAATTCATGCACGACATAGCTAGCGCGACCATTTCGCAATGACATCTTCTTCGATGAGTGAGTGAGTTACTGCCTTATCTTCAACCTGCTTACTGCTGTACCCTGCTGATGAAATCCTCCATCCAATCGGAAAAAATGTCTTTACAAAATCAATACTTGAAAATCAATAAATTATTTGGAATATTCTACCTTCCTACATGGTGATAAGGAAAAAAGTTGCATTTCTACTTCGGGGATTTCTTCTCTGTCCTTCAAGTGTTGGTTTGTGGAGGTGGGGATTTGATTGATTGGTTACAGGATTTCTTCATGAGCTGACATCAGCGTTAGAGAACCATTGGAAAACCAACCAGGGAGCACTGCGCTGCCAGACAGCTGTTTCACACGTCCGACTAGTTTGGAACCGGCTATTCAGGTGGGGTTCGAACCCAGGACCACGTTCTGATTACAAGGCCAGCGAGCTGGCTCGTAGGCCATTAAGCCAAGCCACTGGGACCTGATCCAATTGCCAGCCAGCCAGTGTGCATGAATTCTAACTTTGGCCAATTGAGGCACGACACAGCGCGACTGGCACTAGCCAATGTCTTCGGTGGCGACGTGCTGCACCCTACTGGTCACGACTTCCCACTAGAAACCACCTACGTAACTACCTACCTGAATAGGGCAAGTCACCAGTGAGCGGCATCTAATCGATATTCAAATGTTGGTTTGTAGGGGGGATTTGATTGATTGGTTACAGTACTCCCTGGGCGCTGTTTTTCCAATGGTTCTCTAACGCTGATGTCAGCTGGTCATGATGAAATTCTTCTCCGTCTGTCTGTCTGCCTGTCTATCTCTCTATCTCTCTATGCAATAAATACGTTTCAGTTCCCTTCAAAACGATGATGAAAATAAAGACGTTGGATAGACTATGTCATGAATGTATAATCACACAGTGTAACTTAGCCGTGTCGATGAAGCCATTCCAACTGTGATAAAACACTGTAATATGATGTGTGACCGACAAAAATTATTGATTGCGTATTGCATGGAATGGCAATCAAACCTCCACCTCAACTTTATAGACTTTCAGAAGGCCTTCGATAGCGCTGACCGCGAAGTAATTTGGCAACTACTCGAGTACTATGGCGGTGTACTCCAAATATTCATCAACCTTATTCAGCAGCTGTACGACAACGGCACATGTCAAGTGATCCACAACGGAAAACTCAGCGAGGCGTTTGCAGTAAACAAGGGAGTCAGACAAGAGTGCTTATTATCACCAATGATATTCCTAATTGTTGTGGACTGGATTATGCGTCGTCAGACAGTGGAAAACGAGAAGACAGGGAAATCCAGGACCGACGTGAAGAACCTAGAAGACCTGGATTTCGCGCGTGGATGATTTATGTTTGATGCGTCGGTGGCACAGTGGTTAGGACTCTCGCCGACCATGCACATGGTCCGGGGTTCGAACCCCTGCCGGCGCACACCCGATATCTATGGTATGCCTGAATTTGGGCAACCGATATCCATGCTGAAAGTTCCACACTTGTACTGAAAATACGGTGTGGAAATCAAGCTGCAAATCAAAAATCAAAAAGAAAACCGACAAACTGGTCGAAGAAGCAGCAAAGACAGGACTCCAAGTGATGAACATAGACAAGACGGAGGTTATGAAAATCATCAACCAAAAACAACAACAACAACAACAGCAGCAACATCCGGCGCCATTCACCATCGACGGGAGGGATTTGAAAGAGGTTACTTCATTCACTTATCTAGCTAGGTAGCATTGTCTCAACTACAGGAGCAACGGACGGAGGAGGATGTCAAATCGAGAATCAGGAAGGCGAGAAACACATTCATCAACCTGAAACCAATCTGGAAATCGTCGTCACTCAGCATCAACACTCAACAACAAAATTCGGATTTTCAATACGAACGTCAAGTCACTGAGTTCTTCTATACGGATCAGAAACTTGGCGGTGGGTCAAAAAGAATATTTCCAACAGCCTGTTGCAGACCTTTATCAACAACAACAACTGTCTTCACTCTATATTACTGAAGATCAGATGGTCGGAAAGAACAAGAACCAACAAGAAACTATGGGAACAAACCAACAAAACAAGAACCAATCGCCCAACAAATATGCAGGAGAAAGAAGTGGAGATGGATTGGACACTCGCTGAGGAGGCCGCTGAAGTAACGTCGAGTGGTACCCGAAAGGGAAGCGGCGGGTAGTGGGACGTCCAAGGTTGACATGTAGCAGATCGTTTAAAGAAGATTTGGAACAGTATGGATTAACATGGATGCAGGTGAAAAGTACGACAGAAGACAGAAGCAAATGGAGACGTGCAGTTGAAGCCTTATGTTCCACTAGGAACCCAAGGGAACAATAATAATAATTTTATAAAATAATCCATGAAATGTATAAATAATCTCAAAGGGATGTGTATTTATGTGTGTGTGCGTGTGTGTGAGTCGAAATAATAATAAGATTCACAAGCGATTAAAGTATTACGCAACATAGTCTGGCCATGGAACCTCCTCCTTTAGGTCCTCTAAGTAGTGCCACGTTGTTTCATAGCCAGTCGTGAAAATGGTCATTCTCCTGATGTGTACTCATCGAAGAGAACTGACGAAACTCTGAGGAGATTGGCTTATAAAGAAAGAATCTGAATATATCATCACGATTCCTTGACGGAGATGGACTGGCTATCCGAGTAGTTTCATAAAGAGACATATGAAAACATTTCAGAGAGAGAGAGAAAACCAACCTGAGACTCTGACTGCACGTAAGAAACCGCTATTTATTATTAAGTTACAATTTAATGGTGACTTGTCTGTCAAGTGAGATTTTATTCCAGAGACTTCCCAAGGAGTATACGGAGAACGTTTTACGCAGCACACCTATGTGTTTGTCTGTCATTCTCTAGCCGACGAATCATTGGGACGCAAACGAAGGATAGATAGCTAGACAGATAGTTTTGCCACACATCTATGTGCATTTATCATCAATTCAACTGCACCTGCGGTGACAGTTACGACAGTTGGCACACTACTACTACTAGACAGCTTAGCCAGCCAACGTGTCACTCAATGAATGAACATCTCCCATCATCGTATGGAGTTTGGCAAAGGACAGACAAAAACAACATTGCGTACGTAGCTCAATCATGTCACATTTTGTGATTTTCTCTGGACCCAATTACAAGGACACACACACACAGGAATTCTGTAGAAGGATTTTGGGGAATGTATATGTACACAGAATATATGTGGTGTAACTTCTTCTTTTCTATTGACACTCCTATGCTAAACTGGGCGAGATGTTTCTGTCACATGTTAGGGAGAAAGAGATACCCTATGTCGTAACAAACAGTTTTATTCAGTTTTTATGCTTTACTTTTCCATAAATATATTCGTTTTCCATAATCAAAATTCCCTCTTTCACGTGATTGGTTCGTTGAAGGTCGTTCGCTGATTGGTGGTAGTTAGTTATTGGTGCTTAAAGTTTAACTTTGCCTAGTCCTAGTCCATCTATGCATGCATAACTGTTATATAATCCCTATTTCTTCCTACTTTAGGCCTATTGATTTTTCCTATTGATTTATTTCATTTGGATATCTCTTCTTTATTATTATTATTATTTTGATTGATTGTTATTATTATTAATTTCACATTGAACAATTTTCAGGATTGGTTGGAGGATTTCATTCATCATGAGCTGACATTGATTAGAGAAGAAGAACCACCCTCGGAAAACCAACCTTGGAGTAATGAACAACCGATTTCGTCCTACTTCGGGACTCTTCACTGCCAGAGGGTTCGAACCCAGTAACTTCTAACTTCTGCCAGTGGTCCTATTGACTCAATGGTCTGCGAGCTGCCTCAGCACCTTGTTGTAACCAGAACTTGGTCCTACGTTCGAACCCTGTCAGTGGGGTGGGGTGGGGTGGGTGCGTACAGCCGAAGAGAGTCAGTAGTCACAAAAAATCAAAATCCCTACAAATCAATACTTGAAGATTTTCTGGGTATTATCTCACCTGTCATCTCAGTTGATTTTCTCTCTGATTCTTTCAAAATCTCATTATGGGTAAAATTTGTTTTAATAAAGTCTCACAGCGTTATACAGTAATATTTACTGATGACCACGTTTCGAGCACAATTTATTGCTGTTCATAATCATATCAAGGGAACTCACTCACACAACTTTCTAACTTCGTTTATATAATTCCATTATTTTCCATCGTTTGATTTGATTGGTAGTAGTATTTTCCATATTTCTGGTATGAGTCATTCCTACTGCACGTGTTGGATGTAGATTCGATGAACAAGGATTCAGTAATCAACCTTTCTTTCCACCTTCTTATATTACTTCTTAGAATTTTAACTCTCTCCCACCCTATTTTATGATTGTGTGTCAATGCATGCAGTGCAATCACTGAGCTTTTTTCTGAATTACTTATCTTCTCGGGGTCAACCATTCTTACCTTAGCTGAATTCTTATGTTCCGACAATCTGATTACCCTCGCAA